AGTGAAGTTGTTTATGTTACTAGTGCGTGATATGTCTGTTAATGTTACTTTGAATATACACATGTGCTTTTATATTGTGTTCGTATTGCATAACAAGTAGTTTAAATTTTGTAATGCTACATAATGTTAATTTGAATTTTGTTAATTTGAATACTCTAACGCTTTGTTTATCAATTTGTAACAGGATGGCCCCTCCCACGCAGCACCCGTTGTACCCCATTCTTCAGACAGAGTACGACGACCAGCACCGAGCACACATCTTGAGTGACAACGACGCAGAGGTGGCCTTGCCTACTTTGATGCCCCGCACGCACCCCAGAGCGCACTAGTGGGACGAGCGTTATGCGTCGTACATACGGCGTGCCGGCTTCCTCGAGCTTGTCTGTATTGTCAACCACGGTCTTCCGCCCCTTGACCTAGCACTACTTACTGCAGCTGTAGACTGGTGCGAGTGCATTCTTTGTACGTAAACTTTCTTGTAACAAATTTGAGGCAACTAACAGTCGTTCTATTCTTATAACAGGTCGAGGCCTGAGACCCACACGTTCCACCTACCTTGTGGCGAGATGACCTTGAGCATGCAGGACGTGAAAACTATTTTTGGCCTTCGGTTGGGGGGACTTCCAGTGACAGGGATAGTTGACAACGATCACTGGAGGGAGCTAGTGGCTCAGTTTACTGACTTTCTTCCACCGAACGACGAGGCTTCCAAGAAAAATAAGTGAGAAATTGAAGCCTATTTAATACTTGTATTGCTTTCCTACAGCCATCGGATCTCATCTTGTTTGGTAAATTCCAGGAAAACTTTCGGTGTTTCATTGTCCTGGATCACGGAGCGCTTCGATTACTTGGACCCACAGGCTGAGGAGGCTCAGATCGATAGGTTCGCTCGAGTGTGGCTCTGGCACTTTCTTGGTGCTTTCCTCTTCCCAGACGCCTCGGGCAACACCATCAGCTAGATCTTCCTTGACATACTACGCTAGCCGTGGGAGAACATAGCGGCGTACAGCTGGGGCAGCACAGTCCTGGCATGGACATATCGACAGCTATGCGTTGCCTGTCGTCGCACCTCAGGGTATGCAAACATTGGAGGTTGCTCGTACCTACTCTAGGTTTGGTGTTGGGAATGATGGCCCGTTGGGATGCCCCTTAATACTGGTTTACCGGTAAGTACTTCGGTTCATTATATTCTTCAATATGGTTACATATGATGAGTTTATTAATGGCTAATTCATTATCGTGTTCAATGCAGCAATAGAACATGCATGATACACTCCCTACAGCTATGTTTATCTGGACGGAATCAGAGTTAGTTAGAGGGAATGCGAGGCGCAAGTACAGGGAGTACACGGACGGTCTCGACGTCCTGACACAGCATCAGATTATGCTCTCTTTACTATCATACCTGTGTCTTGTTCATTCTACACTATATCACAGCCTAACTCAATTACGAAATGTTCAGGTGCATTGGTGTCCTTGGGATGCTCCAGAGCTCCAGTACTATCTCAGTCCTGTCACTAGGGATGAGTCAGAGGAGTATCGCTGCAACGTCCCTCTTATTTTCTTCCACGTGGTCGAGATTCACTTGCCCGTCAGGGTCTGCAGACAGTTTGGAAAAATGATAGGCTCCCACCACCGCTTTACTCCACCAACCAAGGATTGCACGAGTGCGTTATCGATTAATAACAAAGCTATAATTCAGAGGTATGTGTGGTACAACTAACATCGTTTTGTTGCAGGTATGACCGTAGGAAGAGGTACAAGACCAAGGATTGGCGTGTGACACACAACGCGCACAGCCACTTGTGGGAGACCAGGGAATGGCAGCCGGTCCATGCAGGTCCTCTACATAACCAGCACACCATCGACGAGTACCTGCGCTGGCTTCACAGGTTTACGAGGACACATATCAAGCCCTCATACACTGAGGAGGCGATTGACAAGGACTCGGAGGAAGATGTGATCGAAGATGTGTACACGTTGCCACTAGAGAGGACACACAGCTACAGAGAGCCCCGCTACAAAGATACGTGGTAAGATACTTGAATGGTATAATTTGTTATCTATTTGGTATTAAGTATGTATATTAAAACTGTTCAACCGCGTTTCTGTACCAGGCGACACAATTGTCGAGGCTGTCCAACGAAGCAGCGTTCCGGCTTCACAAGTCTAGAGTGCAGGGGCCAGGCGTTCTCGAGGCTGTTGTGGAGGTAAACATAAACTAGTCCGTTCTGAAATTGTTTCTTTAGTGTATATGCGTTTGGAAAATGCACCAACTTTAACGTCTATTTATGCAGAAGGTGAAGAAGAGCTGCAGGAAGCTAGCTCAAAAGCTGAGCTGCATGGACACTCCTTATGAGGAACCGCCACTCCCGGCGCGGTCGGGTGGCACGTCTTCAGCCTCTTTGAGGACACCAGCCGGCTCTTCTCAGCTAGTAACAGGTGTCACTTCCGCGGTGCGTACACCACCACATCATAGCGCTGGGAAGGACCCTGCAACCGAGGACGATGATGACGACGACGACGACCCCGGGGCTTCCGCAGACAGCACGACCAGTGGGGCGATTATCCGCAGGAGGAGATCGGCATGTCTCAGCTAGGTGGTGCCCCACTTGGTACCCAAGGAGTCTCACAGGTACTAACAAAGGTAGTTTCTTTAAATACGTAGGCTACATGAACTAACGATCATAAAGAATTCTAAGTAATCGTGCATATCATATACTTGCAGGGTACGAGCCGTACGCACCGGCGACGCGACCACACCGACGTTGGCTACACTCCCAATGTGTTGCCAACAAATCCGAAGAGACAGAGGCATCCGAGGTATCCTTACACTCCTGGGTCTTAGTTTCTTAGGTCGAACTATTATTGACGTCCGAAACTTGCAGGCTAAGTTGGTTATGTTATGTTGAACTTATGTTAAACCAATGAAAATGTTATGTGGCAGCTTGTCAACTTGCGCACGGACTTCATTTATTTGCTTCATATTCGTTTCAATATGTCGCGGCATCACTGCATGCGAGATTAAGTAGCAACTAGTTCAGAAACCGACAGTCCCGGGGTATCTCGACGCCGGTGGCCGGCGTCTTGCGCGAGGGGTCGAGGAAGCCGGGGTCCATGGTCGCATCGCCGCCGATCCTATAATATGGGGCCAAAAAGAAAAATAAATAAGTTTCCTTAAAAAAATATTCGTTTCAATCTGATCCAATTTTTCATAATCGATTAGTTAACATGGTGGTTAACCGTATTATGAAAGACGGAAAAAATATCATTGGCTTATCAAATTCTCTATTCGTCCGTGAAAAAAATTCAATAAAAGATATAAACAAATCCACTATTGATTTTACGTCAAGCAATACTTAGAATAACTCCCACTATCGGCGCGACGCGTTCTGATTAAACTGTCCAGGTACCGCCGGGCGGGCGGCGGGCGCGGCGGCCAGGCGGGCTTGCTGCTCGGGCATTCGGGACTGGCCGTGGGGTTTCATTCGGCTCTACCACGCCACGGATCAGGGCGCGGCACTGCCGCGCCAAGGTTGATGGCGCGGCAGGCCCTGCCACGTCATCGGTCAGCGATTCCGGTCGCCGCCACGTTAGCCCTCTGCCGCGCCACCATGCATGGCGCATCACAGGCATTTGGCTGCGCCAGGGCAATAGGCGCGGCTAAAAGTGTTAGTTAAAAAAAAAACAGACAGTGTTAGATTTAAAATTAGTTTTCAAAAAGTGTTAAAATTAAAAAAAAAATCTTAGATAGCGTGGGAGGCTGGTAGCAGATCTGTCGACGAGACGCCCGTCGTCCTTCAAAGATGCTCCTAGGAATAGGAATAGGGGTTTGCGTATGTGTGTTCATATAGGTGAGTGTGCGTATATATTGTGGGCGTCTTCGTTGTACTGTGTAATTCTGAAAAAAGGCAGTGGTAATATAGAGTTGCGAAACTATTGTTGTCTTTTACACTTTTCAAGGCTTCACTCATAGGCTCGGTTTGTTTCACCTTATCTGAATCTCGCTCATTTGATAAGCAAACTTATATAAAAAGCAGGCTTTGTAAGAATCTATCTCAGAGTGTTTGGCAACCTAGATTATTTCAATCCTGATTATCTTGCCGAGGGGAGGGACGCGCCGGCGCTCGCGCAAGGAAGGGACGCGCGTAGATGCGAACCACCGGTGGCTCGCACAGAGCGGAGGGGTGGCGCCACCGAGCGGCTCGAGCGGACGAAGGGGGTGGCACCGCAACCTGGAGCCTTGCTAGCGGCCAGCGGCCGACAGGAGCGTCTAGAGATCCGTTGTCCAGGAGCCTTGCGATGAGGGAGGGAGCTGGCGATGGGAGGGGTGCGGTCATGGAGGCTGCCAGCGGGAGGCCAGATCTACCCGCCACCGGCGGATCTGGCCCAGGGGAGGCGGTGACCAGACTAGAGGGAGGCACTGAAGGTGGAGGGAGGCAGCAGTGTGGATGGAGCGGCGGTGCGGCACCCGCAAAAGAGAGAGAAGGGGGCGAGCGCAAGGGAGGAGGGACAGGCAAGCAGGGAACGCAAGTGGGTGTTTTCCAAATCACGGAGCCGGGGTTAGGTTTTCACACACCGTTGCGGGCTAGCCTTCACCGTGAACGCGCATTGGCGTTAACCCCGACATCGCAACCCGTTCAGTGGGATTATCAGCTTCTGCCAGTCGCAGACGCTCTCAAACGCGGAAACAAACAGGGCTATAGTCGATCTAGACTCGCCGCTTTTGAGTGCACATTTGTCTTAGTACACATCGCTAGGTTTAACGGGATGGTGTGATTCCGTGTATTGCCCGTACTCGCCGGTCACCAAGCTTTGGGGCTAGCAGCCCTTCATCTTGATTGGGATCAGCGGTGGACAGGGTCGTAACATAAGCTCATCAACGTACTAGTAGAGTATATATACTTCCAGAGCTTTAGGGATGTCATTAGGTTTTCTACTGATGTTAACTTGTTTAAAAAGTGATCCGATCTAAGAAAAAAAGCTTTGTTTAAAAAAGGTTACCAATCTCGTAGACAAGGCCCGAGAGCCCCGAGCAGCCGGGGCCCACCTTGCAGCCACAGCAGCAGCGGGTCTCTAGCAGGATCCCTCTCCGACTGAACGAAGTAGTAGAAAAGCTGCACACCATTGCTCTCGTCCACCTCCACATACCTGCGGCATGCAAATGCTATGCTGAAGCTTATTTCAATTCATTTCCTGCAATCACGCAAAAAACCAGCTGAACCGTTACCCGGTTTCCAGGAAGAAGGGAAGGGGGCCGTCGAATCCCGGCAGTTCCCTGACGACGAGCGCCGACGACATCATCGGACAGTAGAGGACGAGGCACCACAGCCCTAGGAGCAGTAGCAGCCACAGCCAAGAGAATGCATGGCAGGTTGGCGCATTGTTTGCCATTTGTGCGGCGTCTACACCAGGACCTTTGATCCTGATCTAAAAGTTCAATTGGAGAAGAAGCAAGAGAATCGGCGCCAAGCTTTATCTATGATTGCTCTCATAAGTGCTGTGCAGCCTGGGCACTAGACTAGACAGGAAGTACTGTGATGGCAACTCACCACCACACAAATATCTAATGCATGTCTGCAATGTGACCTACCACGTGTGAGGTGTGAGCTGTGACATGGCCACATGGGCGGAGCTATAGTCATGAGTGTGGGTGCGCGTGTGGGTGCACGTGAAAATAAAAAAAAAGTAGAAATAGCTAATTTTTTACCATATTTACACCTAGAAATTATATATATATCATATTTCCTCACATCCACAAGGCAAAGTCATCCCCTCGGATTTATTCTAGCTCCGTCATATGCTGTGTGAAACTGGATTGGGATGGAGCTTTTCGGTAATATGGATTTCCGAATATTAGCCCATTACTATCGGGGTGAGCCGAAGCTAACGAAGATAAAATCCACCCGAACTAGAGCACATCATTAGGCGTTCAAGGAACCTGAGCCTGGACACGGACTTCTACAGTATATGGTAGTTAATCTGTTATGATTTCTTTGTGACCGACTTGGAAACACATCCGTAGACTGATCGGTATCCTTGTAATCTGCTCCCTAGGCTATGTAAGGCAGGGTAGAGAAACCCCATCGGTATCTTGAAATATTCTAGGCTATATACTGTGTAGGCAAATTAGTCATTGGCCCCGTTCGCTGGTCTGAACTTTAGCTGAAACTGGTTGAAAAACACTGTTCCGGCTGAATTGTTGTGAGAGAAAAACACTGTTCCGGCTGAAAAAACAAGCCGAACAAGCCAAACTTTAAGACAAGCGAACGGGGCCATTATTAGCTCTTTGTAACTCGAGCATATAAGATAAAGAGATCTACTCCAAACTAGACATAGGGTACCACGTACCTAAGCTAGTATAAATCTGTCTCGTGTATTACCCTTCTTATTCCTTATGCGTAATATGCTAATATTCATTGCTTAAAACCTTTGATAGTTGGTACGCTAGGTAGTGGACTTTGCGCATAGATCTTTCACGTTTCAATCTTTAACTTCGACGTTGTGGAGAAAATTGCCAGCAGCTTCGTATAAGAAAAATCTAGCTAGTCGATGTGTGTCGATATTGGCCCTGCTTCCTTCATGCAAAAATTCAACCTTCTCAAACTCGGCAGACCTTGCTTTGATCTCTTGAACTACATGGCCGTGACGTCCCATTGCTTGCCCCCGGATACTGCTAATAACATTGGCACAATCACTTGCAATCATGAACTGATGAAGCACCCTAGGTCGCTTGCTAGTGATAGTCCTTCCCTACATGCTAGGCCTCCATTATCTCCGGGTCTCTAACTCCATCCAAGATTATTGCTTATATATCCAGAAGTACGTCGAAAACATCTCCGCCAACCAACTTTTAGCCTGAGATCTCGCATATAAGCTCGACAAGCTCTTCTCGCTCAAGTGCCCAAACACACTGAGCCATATTGCAACCAATTAGAGAATGCTTCCACGAGTCCTCCGTCCACACAAAGCACACATGTTCCTGTTTGTCCTTAAACTACTAACTAGAGCCATGAAGGAAAGGGGTGGTTTGTGCAACACGAGACATGCCCTTGCCGTGGGCTATCATGTTGGATCGGAGCCTAAGCCTGCTAGTTGATATCTCCACAACAGTGGGGTCCAGCCCACTAGCCCACCACAGGCGCAACGGATATGCGACACATTTGCTGATTACTGGGCTGTTGTTCCTATGCTGATTGATTGTTACATGAAGAGCACACGGTTCCTTATTTTACATTACTCCGACATGATCATGCTAAGCATCCAAACTTTTCCCCAACAAGCAAGTACCACGGCGATGCAACTAGCAAGCATACATTTATTTCTTGCTGTGATCATCCACTACCCCATACCAGGACAATACTGTCGGTTCAAATCACTCCATCACTACCGGATTTTAAACCGGCACAACCATACCGGCAGTGATGAGGGTCAGCTATCACTGTCAGTTTCTACAAACCGGCAGTGTTCTTCAACTTCACTACCGGTCCTTTACACAATCCGATAGAGTTCAGTTCCACCAACACTGTCGATTCATGAGACCATCCTGCAGTGTAACCTCAAACATCACTGTCGGTTTATGTTTTAACTAGCAGTGTTGTCGTAACCAGCACTGCCGGTTTGTGACAAGAACCGACAGTGATGGCTAAACCAACGCTGCCGGTTTGTGGCTCAAGCCGGCAGTGCCATCTTAGCCATCACTGTCGGTTTGTTGCTAACTGACAGTGATGGTTACGACAACACTGCCGGTTTATTGCTAACCGGCAGTGATGGCCCGTTCGTATTTTATTGTTTTATAATTTATTTTAATTTATATTTTTTCGTGGAATCGAGTTTCGCTTTATATACGCTACGTAGACGACAGGTCCATCAATATTAAACATTACAAATATTATGGTTACAGTTCAAATGTTCTTATCAAGATCTCGATTCCTCAAAATAAAAAAGAAATTATTCGATAAGACGAAGCATGCTTCTCGGACTTCTTACAATAATCTAGCGAACCGCTCTGGGCCATACTGGTCCTTGAACTTCACGGATTGTGCAATGGAAAATACTCCATCTTTTTCCAATACCTCGGCTAAGATGAATTTTGGCAACTCCAATTGCAGTGCGACGATCTCCATGTCTAACAGCCTTTCGTGGTTATATTTCTTGCGTTGTCGTTCAGAAAAGATGATATCCAAAGAGGAATCAGTAAATCATTTTGTTGAATTATTAACGGACATAAATAAAATAGGAATTATACACACCAACTTATCTGCTTCTTTCAATTTTCCGCCGATGTAGCGAAGCATTGCCCACATTACATAAAACCCGCATTCATTGTTTCCCGCTGGCTGTTTTAGGTACTTCCCCTCTATTTTGACAACCTAGAACGGGACCTGCGTCTCATCGATATGTCTTCTTCAGACACTGTGCAACATTAAAAGGAAAAACATTATAGAGCGGTATGTGTGATTAGAAAATAATATGTTATTAGGATCGCTTAATAATTTAGCACTGCCACCAGTGCATCCAGATAATGAAATGATTTTTTCTTCGAGTCCCACACCTCGATCAGATTTTTAGCAAGATTGACACAAATGAAGACGAAATGGTTGCTGCAATCACAGAATCCTAATTATCGAATAATCTTAACGAAAAAAGAAGCATAAAATTAAAAGCCGAGAACACATACTCACAGTTGTAGGCTAGAAGTATGTGGGTTTTGTTCTTCATCTTGAATTCATCGAAAACAGCAATCAATCTCTCCTTTAGGTCTTCCACATCACATCCATGGACACCTAAACATGTCTTTTCATTGACTCGCAAGGGGTCCAAGAAACCTATGTTATCCCATTTGCTTTTTAGTATGCAAAAATTTTGCTAAACACCTATATAAAATTATGGGAAGTGCTCAAAAGTTAACAATTTATGTCTCGAGAGAGTAGTTAATTGTAATATCGTGCGTGTAGGGTACTTACATAGTCCACAGCGTCAACATTTGTGAATCGAGAGAGCGTTTCTGATATAGCTGGAACAAGCACTCCCACTCGACATCGAACTTCTCTTCTTCAGGATAATAAAAAACATGTGGTGAACGGATAATAACCTCAAAACCAAAGGTCTCCGTCACTGTTGCTTGAGCCATGTAATATTTATGCAACTGACGCATATATGTTGTCAAATTTTTATACTCGTCATCGGGAACCAAAAGATTGTCCCTTTCATATTTTATTGTTGGTGTTCCCGTCCCTTGTACATCATAATAGATGTTCATGGCCTCTTCCATGGTTAATTTGGGGTTGTCTTCGACGTACTTCTGTATCTTCCTTAAATCTTCATTGTGTATTTCTTTGCCTCTTATTGTAGTGTACTGATTTTGTGTTTGCCTTTCAAATTTGGACTTCAACAAACATAGAGGCAATGAGGCACAGAGATGTGTGCTGTAAATTTTTCTTTCATCAAGTTTGTAATGTTGCCACTGAACGGCCTTTTTCTTTTTTGTTGGTCCACTTTGGGAGCATTAGTGACTGAATCGAAGGACCTTTTCTACGACTGCGAGGATGCCTTTGATCTTGTTTGGGGCTGAGGTGGAGGAGGATGATGATGATGAGAATTCGGTTTTTCCGGGGCTGATGAAGATAGAGGAGCAGAAGGAGGAGTCGGCTGATGAAGATGGAGTCGAACGAGGAGGAATAGGAGACCTCTGTCTTCTCGGAGGTGATGGTAAGGGATGAGGAGGGGAGTGATCTCTATTGAGAGATGGTGAGTGATCATCGCGGGTGGGCAAAGACTCGCAGTCGTCCTCATCATTAGAGGATAATTGGTGGTCAAGCTTGATGAAGCGCTTGCTCCAGGCCACTTGAGAGCCCTTGTTATGACCAAGTTTTGGCTTGTCTTCTACTGCGGGGTACTCAATGTGTATCTTATTATACTTCTTATCAAGTATTCTATCAATGGTGACGTGAGCGTACCCCTGTGGAATTGGGCGGCCATTAATGGTCATGTCTCCCGCAGGCCAGGCCTGGCTGAGTGCCACCTTGTCCTTTGTCCATTCCTGATGGATGTACAACTTGACATTGACGGGTTAAGTGATGCCGTCCATCGGATGAGGCACATTCGCATCTTCTTCGTCGAGCGGGGTCGATTCGTAGCTGTTGCGACCCCTCAACTGTGGGCTAAAGGCAGTAGGAGTAGGATTTTGTGGTACTCATGACCCCTTAGACAACAAAATTTGCTGGACTCATGCTTCAACAGTTGCCTCAATCCGTGCATCCATTCTGTCTTCCATCTCTTTTAGTCACCTCAAACACTCTGCCTCCTGATCCGCTCTACCCCTCGAGCGGCTCCGGTAAGTGTGAGATTATTCGGGGAATGTTAGTTTCCAAGGAACAACACTGGTTCCTCTA